CCATTTGATCCTATAATTCCTCTACTAGGTGTATATCCAGAAGACCAAAAATTACACTACAATAAAGGTATTTGTACCAGAATGTTCATTGCAACCCAATTCATAATTGCTAGGTCATGGAAGAAGCCCAGTGCCCATCGATCCAATCCATGAATGGATCAATAAATTGTGGTATATGTACACCATGGAATACTATGCAGCCATGAAGAAAGATGGAGACTTTCCCTCTTCATGTTTACATGGATGAAGCTGAAAAATATTCTTCTTAGCAAAGTATCTCAAGAATGGAAGAAAAAGTATCCAATGTACTCAGCCCTAATATGAAACTAATTTATAGCTTTCATAGGAAAGCTATAACCCAATTTTAGCCCAAGAATATGGGGAAAGGGGAGAGGGAGGAGGGAGAGAGAAGGGTTGGAGGAAGGGTGATTGGTGGGATCACGCCTATGGTTCATCCAATAAGGGTACATGTGAATCTTTCTAAATGTAGAATATAAAAGTCTTAACACAATAACTAAGACAATGACATGAAGGCTATATTAATCATTTGGATGAGAGTATTTCAAATTGTATTTAGAAAGAGCACACTGTACCCCATGATAGTATTAATGCACATAGCTATTAGTTATTACAAAAATTATAATAATAAAAGATACAAAAGCAAGGCACAGAGCTGCAGGTCCAAAGAGTGTTCCACAATCCAGCTTTACCAGTAGCACTGGTATTTTGGTCTCTACGCTTTGGGCTCATGTGTCTGAATTATTGGTTGGTTCAGCACTTGGGAGAGGAATTTTATTTACTGGCCCATAATTCCCCCAACATATGCTGTTGGGATTTGTTTTTCTGACACAGTTCTAAGTCTCTGTGTTTAACCAACTCTGTCTTAAATAAGCAAATTTACATGAAGCACTGACTCTATGCTAGGTGTGCTGCCAAAAACTTCACATGGATCGTCTCATTGAATCTACATCATAATCCTGATGACAGAGAAAATGAGACCCTAATTGATAAAATAAGTTGCTCAAGATCATAAAACTAGTGAGTGGTGGAGCCTGTCTTTTTTTGCAATGTTAGCCCCTATCCGTTTCTATTAGGATAATGTCTTCCATCAAGTGAAAGTTCTTTGCCATTGAGATCTTTAACATAACTTTGTAATTTTCAGCTCTGGTTTCTTGCCTCTTGCTTTCCATTTTACTACACTAGGAAGATTCTTACTTCTCTATTTTCAAGTACTTGGTGAGGGAGTTAGCTGGTAGGTAAAAGGAAAGACCTTGTGTTTGTTCCCATATACTGCATACTAACTACACGGCCAAGGCAAGACATCGTCTTGCCCATTTTCCAGATGAGAAGACTGGACCCACAATCCCAGCAGGTGTAAGTGGTAAAGGAGGATGCTGATGCCAGCACTCTTTCACCTAACTGCACCTCTGCTGAGGAATAGCAAATAGATTGCAATTTGTACGCTCTATCTGATTAACTGGTGTATTCAGTGGTCCTGCTGGGGGATGAAAATATTGGACCTTAAGAAACAAAGCAAAGCCATTGCATTAAGATACAAAAGCAATGCACAGAGCTGCAGGTCCAAAGGGTGTTCCACAATCCAGCTTTATCAGTAGCACTGGTATTTTGGTCTCTAAGCTTTGGGCTCATGTGTCTGAATTATTGGTTGGTTTATTCTGTGGCTGTTGTCACAAAATATCACAAATTTAGTGGCTTGAACACCACATTACTTTACTATTTTATCCTTTATCTTACGATTCTTTAGTTGCAAAGCCAAAACGTGTGTGTGGGGAGGTGGACATTGTTCTGCCTAAAATAGCTGGTCATGGCTGCGTTAAGAAAGATTATGAGGCTATGTGTGTGCTCATCAGGAAAGATAACTTTGGTCAATGAGCAAGGTCTTCCGTGAATTCAGAAGGAAATCCCATGTACCTTCTATTACACCAGGGGTGCAGGCTACAGAAAAGGGGAGTGTCAAGTTACCTACTAATAAGAGGGGTGACCACCCAAAGCCCTAGCTGGAAGAGAGTGCTCCAAGGGTCTGCCTGCCTCCAGACTCTTGTAGTCCTTCTCTTCCTAAAGCTGAAGCTATTTGGCCCTCGCTGGCGAGCTGAGCCCGTCCAGGCTGTATCTTCTAAATGCCCACCTAGCAGTAGCCCCCAGCCTGGCACAGCTCTTTCATGATGGGATATAGCACTACAGGATACAGGCAGATCTGAAAGGCTTACCTGTTGGATAGGGAGACACACCGGCCAACAAATTGCCATGACAGGTAAAATTATATCACGTTCCAGGCCTTGTCCTGTGCTTTCTACCTCCATGACCATGCTTGAGTTGCCTAAAATGCTCTTCCTTCTTCTGCTGCCTCAAGCCCACTCATTCTTCAAACACCACCTCCTCTTTGATCCTTCCTAGATGGAAGAAAACCTCTTTTCTCATTGTTCTTTCATTTTTGACATACCTGAGACCACGGATGCTCACATACTCCACAAATACTTGACAAACACAAATGATCAAGCTAAATGTTCATAGGTGTGCAAAATCATGGTGATTATATACACATTTAAGAGCTTATGCATGAAGTATTATCTTGTTCACTATTAATGGACCAACATACCTGCTTCCCCTCCAATACCACACAAAACATACCAAGACAGAAAAAAAAATACCAAGATGTTAGTCAGAAATATAGCTTTATTATAATATTTCATAATCTAAAAACTTTTTTAAATTCTGGGAACAGAATATTCCAACTTCTGTACAACTCACTGGCCCTGCAGAATACTGGAAAACAGTGTCTAAGCAATCTGAACTCTGCACATAAGGATCTATAACCTAGTTTGACAAAGAAAAAGAAAGAACAGTCCAAATGAAGATTTCCTCCCTACAAAACAAATGATAAAATTAGATCTATTCTTCACTTTAACCTTGAACGTGTTTTCCCAGAAACTTTGGTGATTTGTTCAAAAAAGCAACTGCCCTACCTCTAAGGTTGACTGCCCATGTGGACAAAGAAAATATTTTAAAATAAGACACAAATAGGACACGGCACCCAGCTCAGGCCATGGTATATAATTGGGAGTATCCTTCTGAGCGAGCCAGCTCCCATATTTCAACAGTAAATTTATGTCTCTAAGGAGGCACAATGCATATAATACATTTCCTTATATTGGGTGGGGTATTAAAACTTAGTGGGAACTTAAAAATGTTTTAATATAATAAATATGAAAATAATTTTTTGTATGTAATATAGATACAGTTGTATGATACTATGTTGCTTTCTGGAGATCACTGGGTACCACTGTCAAAGAGCGCTGCCATGCCCTCTAGGCATGTTAAATGGAAATAAGAAATGTTAGTTACTTTAAATAAAACAGGAACAAAACTCTGTCTATACTATCTTTAAAAACAAGTTGTTGTCATTGCATACATATTACGGGACAAAGAGCATGCAATACGACGTACAAGTCATGTTTTTAGTATGTAAAAGGCAAAAGTGCAATCATGGTATAAGCGTCAATAATAAATAAATCTGGAGGTGGTTAATTCTCCAAATAAATAATGATAACATTACAATTTTTACAGTGCTAGCCTAAACAGTGATATTCACAGCAGTGTTTCTTCTTCCCACTTGATAGCCGCCTATACATCACATGAATGGTCCATCCCCAGAGGCCAAAAGTCAAAGTGACCATTCAAAAATCAACATTTTACTATGATAAGTTCAAAATATTTGTATAATAAGTTACACTTTTCAATTGACTGGCATTTTAAGTAACTGCTTAAGTATCTATTTTTAATGCACTGCTAATCTGATGCTTATTTGCAACAACAATCATAATTCTACTAATGTTAATTAGGTTATAGTTTTACTTTTTAAATTAAGAGAAGTCAATTTACAGAACCCAAGTATATAGTTTAAAAACCACTCACCACAAGCACACACTTTCTCCATGAGTATTTAAAAATAAATTAATATGCTTGACATATATATTATGTTATATATATATAATATATATATGTATACATTATTTGTGGATAAAATTATTCTCGTTTCCAGAAGGAGGTCAGCACTTTTGAACTCTGTATAAAATCTGATGACATTGTTAAATTTAAGGGAAAAAATAACCTGGTAATTTATTCTTGAGGGAAATCATACAGCAGGAATTTCTTAACAGAACTTTGCGGAAACCAAGGCCATCTTAGGGCAGCAGGGAGGACCGTGTCAGTCGCCGGCTCCCACGTGCACGGCTTATTTCGGCAATTACTTTAGAACGTACAGTGAACACTCCAGATACCTGGATGAAAGGTAAGAATGTGTATTTTAGTCATGAAAGAGCAAAAGCAGCAGGAGGCAAAGTGAGCTGCCGAGTGGAAAAGGTAAGCCAGGGGAGATAAAGTCAAGTCCACAGCTGAGAGAGCCAGCTGCTGACACTGCCAGGGAAGGCGCTTCTAGGAAAGTGCCAAATAACAGCTACAGAGCTTCCGGAATGGTGGTGCAGCCCCACGTGCGCGATCCGCTGGCACTCTAACCAGCGGATGCTGCAGTAATGCTGGGAACTGTCCTCCCCGGCCATCGTGGCTGAAGCAGCTGCTAAGATAGAGGCTGGTGGCACAGTCGAAGGATGGAAAATAGCCAAAAAGACAGCAGAGGTGTGCCCAAATCTGAATAAACATGCATTTAGGGCACCAAAAAACCCCCCTCAATTAAACTAGAAAACTGTCCGTTGAAATGAGAGCTGAAGTCTGACTGAACAAGTCTTTTTAGCAACCCAAAGATGGAAATCTTGACTAACCAGAATCCTTAGAGCAGTGGTTCTCAACCTTCCTAATGCCGCGACTCTTTAATACAGTTCCTCATGTTGTGGTGACCCCCAACCATAAAATTATTTTCATTGCCACTTCATAACTGTAATTTTGCTACTGTTATGAATTGTAATGTAAATATCTGATATGCAGAATATATTTTTATTGTTACAAAGGGGTTGCAACCCACAGGTTGAGAACCGCTGCCTTAGAGGATTTCCAATTAACTGAGGGGATGGCTAAAAACGAATGCAAATATTTTCATTTCACTGCTGTTAACAGAACTTTACACTCTGATTCCTTGCCTCACAGTTAAGAGAGCAGTGGGCACAGATGAATTTTCTCCCAATGCCTGACATCTTGTGTGGCCTTGATCCTGAGAAGTAATGACCACTGCATAGAGGCCCAGGTGCCAAAACCACTGGAGACTGGGCCAATTATTTTAGGAGCTGGATCTTAGTTTTATTAAAACCTTCATTTTTTCAATTCTTTCTAAAATTTGCAAGCTTCTAAAAGGGGGTTCTAATAAAATTCTGGCTCACCAAGTTTACCATGTGTTAAATTCCAGTTAATTGAGGTGCTTGCATGTGTTATGCCCTTTGCTACTCCAATGTGTCCTACCATGGGACACTAGTGTTGGCCCCAGGACAACACTCCGCAATGCCTGGCGATGACGGTCCAGAGCCACCCACCCTTTTAGATGATGTTCACAATAGCTGTTGGCTTTTTTTTAGCCATTTTGGGCCTGATGTTGCCTTTCCGGCTGAACCCCAGAAGCTCCCCTTTCTTTGGCGGTCTGCAGAATTCTCTTGAGGACTCGGCCTGCTCGTGAATGGACTTGGTAGGCTGCATGCTGACTCTGTCATCCTTGGCTTTTTTCAGGTAGTTCCTTCCCTTTGGGTGGAAATGGGTCTTGAGATCAGGGTGGTTACACGCCGAATGTGGGTATCCTCGGCTTCTACAGATAGTTGGGTAGGGATGGAAGAGAGATGAGCAGAAGAAAAGATTTTTTTACAACCTTAAAAGGATAATAGCCACTCATAGCACAACTACTCCTACATACTACAGTGGTGACCATACTGCCACTAAAACAATATATATTGGTATTTTTCTTCCACAAAAGCCCTTGGCCTCCCATGAAATGATCACATGATACTAAATTCTCAGGGAGATAATACATGTACTAGTCCTATTTTCCAGTGATACAACTGAGGCACAGGTTTCAGTGAGAACCCCAAATAATATGTATAACTGGTCTATGGAGAAGAAGGACCAGTACCGATCTCTTGACACAGACAAATCTACTGTGCAGATATTATCAAGTATATGACTCATAGTATAAACTTCCATAATGCAGTATAAATATAATACAGTAAGAGTCCTATACAGCTATATGACCACACTATACTTCAAGAAAGTTATACTATATAAGATTATTAAAAAAGTACTCTAGTACTATCACAGTGCCATATGCTATTAGCACATTTGAAAGGTAAAGAAAAATTACAATCACATCAATATTTTATGAAGTTCAGTAAAATTTATGAGGCCTTGGGCCAATGGCCACCTAATTTTGCACCCAAGTCTCCCAAACCCATTTATATTATAGACCGCATATAAAATACAAAAGAAAAACATTCAATATGAACATTATCAAATGGTAACAGTAAAAAAAAAAGATATACATACAGGCATTTGGGTTTCCTATTTGAGGAGATATCTGTAAGCTAAAAGAAAACAAATAAGAAAAAGAAAATTACTTCACTTGAACGATGGACTTGATTTTAAAAATCTTTCTTGGACCATACCTATGGTGCACATTGCAAGGGTACATGTCAACTCTATTAAGTGTAGAGTATAAATGTCTTCCCACAATAATTAAGTGAAGCAAAGGCTATGTTAACCACTTTGATGTAAGCACTCCAAACTGTATATAAAATCAGCACATTGTACCCCATAAAGGCATTAATGTATAAAAAAAATGATTTAAATTAAAAAACAAATTTTGGCATTCAAAAAAAAATCTTTCTTGTATTTTAAAGAAATGGAATTCACATTAAGGAAGTCAGGAACCATTACTGGTGGCATTATCGGAGGTGCCATCCATGACACTGGCCCAGATGAAGGTCTCATTCTTAGACTCGGCTTACTCAGGCAGCCTCTGTGGCCACATGCTCTGAGATTTCTGAGTAGTCTATGTCAGAAGATCTCAAAAATGTCAAAAAGTCAAAGAGCCCCCAATAGAGCAACATTTGAAGAAACAATCTAGGCTAGCTAATCTAGTATAGCTATGGATGGGTACAATGCATCAACTAAAGGTAAAATGGGCATAAAATGTTTATTGCCTAAAATATATCATTTCTAAAATGATAACCCCATACCTGTCCCTGAGGCCAACTATCGCTGAGATTGTTTTCCCCTCCTAAGAATTCATGCAATAAAGTATCTGCATGCACTTTTGTGGCTGAGCTCAGAACGCCCTTATTTATAGAACAAATTGATAATTATCATTTTGTGATCCAGATGTCACCATCCAGTTTAAAGGCAAACCCAGCATATTCTCAGCCTTCATGCAGCTTTCACTAGAAGTGGTGTCACATCAGCAGGCAGGAGAGAAATATGGAGAGGAAGAAAAGATGGAGAAAGGACCAACTTGGTGTTTAGGCACTGAGGAGAGGAAATATGGAGAGGAAAGAAAATATGGAGAAAGGACCTACTTGGTGTTTGGGCACTGTGGCCAACGCATGTCCGTGCTACATACTAAAGTAACCTGAGAAACAGCATCTCTCTCCATTCTTCTGTCTGCAGCGAACCACAAAGAAGGTTCCTTGCAAAAACCTGTGAGGTTCATAGCCCCAAGAAGGCAAAATAAGATTCTTGCTTCTATCTCTTGAGATCAGCAATATTTTGACCTTGTTCATGCTGGCTGATTGGGTATGAAATTAGTAAATTGTAATAGAAGAAGGCATCACCCTGACATGAGGTTCCTAAGGCTATGCAACATACTGTACAAAGAAGGTGGGACAGCTGGCGCTGACTCAGGCAAATGCTAGGCTGGGGACCTCGAATGCATCAGCATTCCCACCTTTTTGCTCCCTAACCCACAATCACCAATTAGGATTTTTCAGCCATGCTGCGTGAATGAACTTTAATCAATGAGTAAATTATAAAAAATGCACAGGATTTTTCTCTCTTTAAATCTTTCCTCCTCTTTATTAAAAAATTATTCAGGCATAACAAAATGTGTTCACTTGACTGTATGCCTATGAGCAACAGTCTAATATTAATCTATACTGTTAGATACATAGTGCCCTTAGGAATTTTATGCAAAATTGAAAGATAAGAAAGGGGGAGATGGAGAGAATGAATGAATATGTGGATATCTATGAAATGTTCAGAGGGGTCCCTAACTTCAACAATATTCTAACTACAACCTTAGCACCTATGTAGAACCCTGCAGGGACCCCAAGATATGAGAGGAATTTACTATGTCTTGTGGAGAGAGAACTGCATAAATGAAGAGGGGTGAAGGAGGGCCAGGAACCTCACATGCACATGCAGTTACTATGAATGGTACATGACTGTGGACCACACACCAGGTTGAATACTGACCATACAAGCAGAATTAGCCCTCAAAATAGCCTCACGAGGTAAGCATTATCATTCCAATTTTGCGGATTTGAAAACCAAGGCAGCAAATTTAAGTACCTGGTTTGAAGCCTCAGTGCTCTACCAGTGTTAGGGCTGAACTTCAAACCCAAATTAGCCGACTCCATGCCCGAGCAAGCCTTCGCTCTGTCCTGCCTCCCTAAAAAGCATGTGTTTGAGTGTATAAATATGGCATGTGCAAGGAAGAGTGTACACAGTCAGTTAAGTGAAAGTGATGGCTAGATTGGAATTTCTCCAAACATCCTAGGAAGAGAAATGGGGTGGAGGTGGGCCTTGTTATCACAGCCAACACAGAATTCCCTCAGCTCTACCTCCAGAGAACACAAGAGGCCACTGCTCCTCCTGGACCACTCAGCCCATGCACCTACCTCCATTTAGTTCTAGTCTAGCTCCTTTCGCTTCTTTTTGTTTAGGAAAAGGTGGACATTAAGATGGGGACCAAGAGAGTCTTTGATCAGGGTTCCAGGTTGGAAAAATATAAAGAGCCTCATAATTGAAAGCCAACCTGAGAAAACGTTGAATATCCTTTATTTAAAATGCTTGGGACCAGAAGCAGAAATGTCCCAGATCTGGCAATATTTGCAATCTACTTGTAATTCTAATCTGGAAATCCAAAATCTGAAATGCTCTGATGGAGCATCTCCTTTGATCATGACCCTGGAAGCACTCAAACAGTTCCAGACTTTGGGGCATTTAGAATTTCCAATCTTGGAATTAGGGATGTTCAACCTATACATTCATCTGTAAAATGAGAAGCCACGTGTTTGATATAATCAAAGTGCTAAATGTGGCCTCCCAGGCTATCTGTGGCTATAAATACAAAGAATAACTAGAAAGCTTTCAACAGGAAAAGCTTTGAATAACATCTTTGGTAACCTATTTGGTCCAGTTTAGTAAAGGTGTCAGAGCGCCCAGAATCCCAGCTTATGGAGCTTCCGACTCACTTGGGCTAGGTTCTTCTAGGTCCCAGCACACTGCAGGCTGCAGGGGAGCAGGGCATTGTGACCTCACTCCCCTGTGCCCTCTGCCTGCACACCTGAGCTGTTGGGAAAGCCATCCCCAGACCTGCCTCTCACCCTCTCCACTCAGGCTGCTGCAAAAACTACCCATCTTCCTCCCTCTCTCCTCTTCTTTTTTCTCATGACCACCTCTAGAGAGCAGTGTAATTCCTACATGGATATGTAAGGTGCCTCTTTCTAAGGTGAGTTTTTAACATTTAGATTCTTTTGTGCTATGGAAAAATTTCCTTCCCCTCATCTTTAGTGCCTTTTCTGCAATAATGTTTTGGCATCTGCATCTTTCCCTCAATCCCCTTGAGCATTTATGCTCTTTTTCACCTGGCCGATTTCTAAAAATATAACATGCTTACTCAGATATTTTATCTTTATGCTCTGCAAAATGTTGTCGCATGAGACACAAAGTGACCTACTCTCCCATCTGTCAAAACCACTCACAGAACTGCTCAAATGGAAGGTCATGAAACAGCGTGGATAATCTGATTTTCAGCATTGCCTTTATGTCCTGTAGGTTGCTCAATTAGGACTAGCAGTTAATTCACTTAACGCAAATGTATTGGTGGCACAGTGCTCACTGGGCGCTGAGGAAACTGCTGTGAGGGTCCCTCTCTCAGTAAGGAGGAAACACAACATGAGTAAACAGAGGAAGGTAATTTCAAGTAGTGATAACTACCACGGGGTGGGTATCCCTAAACCTCAAATCCAAAGGGCTCCAAAACCGGAAACTTTTTCACAGCCAACATGACACTCAAAGGAAGTGCTCACTGGGACATTTCAGATCTAGGATTTTGGATTAGGGATGCTGAACCAGTAAACAGAATGCAAATATTCTAATATGCAAAAGAATCTGAAACCCAAAACATTTCTGGTCCTCACATTTCCAATAAGGGATACTCGACCTGGACCTGTATTACAATGAAGTAGACTCAGTAACAAGGAAAATGAACTACAGGGTCTGCAGACTGTCATATAATGTGGCACATGATGCTCCAAAGAACAATTTAGAGTACTGCACGTAGTACGAGGGGAAAATACGGCTGCCCAGTTCTTTTAAAAATCATACAACTGATTCATGGTCTTCGCAGGGGAATGTATGTTCTCTCCCTCCGACCACCAGACAGTTCTCACTACAGCCTGATCATGCCCCACTCAAACACAGCTCTTGTTTCTAAATTCCTTCTTATAATCTAACTCGCTTTCTTTCATCTGAATTAGTCAATTCTTCCCAATTCTTCCTTAGGTAGAGCAAATCTACTGATAAATAAGTTGACCACCTATGGGACTGTAACAAAATGGTCAACATACAGAGGTGGTCAACGTAAGGAAGCAGGGCTAGTGTACTGATATGGACATGTGGTGCATGTCCAGTCTACGAAAATCAGGTCAACTTCAGGAGGTGGTCAGCGTAGGAAGGTGGTCAACTATGGAGGTCCTGTATTTACTATATTCCTGCCATATTTGTATGTATGTATGTGCATATTTTCTGTGTATGTATGTGTATTTATGTGTGTGTGTATATATATATATGCCTACACATGTGTTATGTGTGTGTGCACACATAAATACAGTCATGTGCTGCATGATGACATTTTAGTCAACAAGAGACCACATATACAATGGTGGCTACCAAAGATTATGATGGAACTGAAAAATTTCTTATCATCTACTGACGTCGTAGCCATCATATCATCATAACACAATGTATTACCCACATGTCTGTGATGATGCCAGTATAACCAAGCCTACTGAGCTGCTAGTATAAAAGCAGAACACATACAGTCATGACAGTACATAATATTTGATAATAATAAGCACCCACATTACTATGTATGTACTATACTATACTTTTTATCATTATTTTAGTATGTACTCTTACTTATTAAAAAAACACATTAACTGTGGAACAGCCTTAGGAAGGTCCTTCAGGAGACAGTCTAGAAGAAGGCATTGTTATCGTAGGAGATGACGGCGCCACGTGTGCTACTGACCCTGAAGGCCTTCCAGGGGGACAAGAGGTGGAGGTAGAAGACAGTGACACTGATGGTCCTGACCCTGTGTAGGCCTATGCTAACGTGAGTGTTTGTGTCAGTCGTCAACAAAAATGTGTAAAAAGTAAAAAAATAAATAAGTAAAGTTAAAAATACAGAAAAGCTTATATAGTAAAGATCTAAAGAAAAAAATATCTTTCTACTGCTGTAGAATATTCATGGTTTAAGATAAGTGTTACTAAAAAGTCAAAAAGTTAAAAAAATTAAAAGCTTACTGTAAAATACAAACATTACAGTAAGCTAAGTTTGTTATTGAAAGAAAATATTTTAAAAATTAATTTAGTGTAGCCTAATTGTATAGTGTTCATAAAGTCCACAGTACGGTACAGTAACATCCTAACTAACACTAACCACTCACTCACTGACTCACCCAGAGAAATCTCCAGTCCTGCAAGCTCCATTCATGGTAGTGCCCTATTCAGGGCTACCATTTTCCATCTTTTATACTACATTTTTACTGTTCCTTTTCTATAGTTAGGTATGTATAGATGCACAAATACCATTGGGTTACAATTGCCTGCAGTACTCAGTACAGTAATATGCTGTACGGGTCTGCCTAGGAGCAACAGGCTGTACCATACAGCCCAGGTGTGCAGTAGGCTCCACCATCCGGGTGGGTGTAAGTGCCCTCTTGATGTGCACACAAGACCTAACCATGCATTTTTGGAGTGTGTCCCATCCTCAAACATCATGATATATATAACTTGGTGTGTACATAGCTGATAAGAAGAGCTGATTGCATGATTTGGCGTGCTGAGAAATAAAGACTGGCTGTTCAACCTTCAAGCTGAAAAAATAAATTGGGCAGAGGAAGTGAGCAAAAAATATTTAAAAAGAAAGGACTCCTGGGTCTTCTTTCTTATTCATTGCCTCCTGTTGTTTTCTGTCTTTGAAATTCTTCTTGGTTTAGCACAGGAGGATTTCATATTTTCCTTAGCTGTGGGTGACTTATACTCCTAAATACTCAAAGTGTTAATGCTACATTTTAATTTTAGAGTTCCCAGCCATCAAAGACAGAGGATGATCAGAGAGCACTGATCCGACACCTTCATCTTACAGAAGGGTGACAGGCCCAGGAAGACAACCTGTCCTGTCCAGGCAGAAGCCAGATGCACATCTGGGTTCCATGACCTCATGCCACAAGCCTCCCTGAAGAGAGAGCAAGATGGGAGCAGGCAGGAAAGGGGTCGAGACTGTCCCTGCAGCCACAGCTGGTCAAGACTGGATAGTCCCAGGGTTTCCCAAGGAGACAAAGGGTCACGTTGTGAGGAGATAGCTCCTCCTCAGGAGGGGAACAGGCCACGGGCAGCCACTCAGGAAATAATACATACTGCACATGGATGAGACTGCACTGAATACAGAAACAGAAGCCTCATATATGTAAACACATTTTTTTTCTTCCTTCCAGTCTACATTTGTTCCAGAAATTCTGGGGCTTGCACCTCTGTGCTGCTCCAAGACGCAGTGTACATTATTACAGCAAGTGCCGTGTAGGAGTTCTTCCTTTTTCTTTCCTCCCTCCTTTTCTCTTTGTCCTGTTTTCCTTCTTTTATCTACTTGCTTTTCATCTAATTCCTTCTTTTGGATTATTCGTTTTGTTGCTGAATCATGTTTCTTTTTAAGCTCAGCCACTAATAGCAACCTTGCTAATCTTTTGGTCAGCATTAATGTTTCCTATTTTTCTTTTCCTTATAATAAAGTCCACGGCTGGAGGTGTGGGGAGTAAAAGAATAATTTCTAAATCTTCTGAGAAAGAGGTAAGTATGAATAAAGTTTAATAAATAATGAAAATGTTATAAATAAACCACTCTGGAGTATCAGAAATCCTCCTCTGGTTTTGTTGTTTATACTATCAAGGACATAGTAGAGAGGGCAAACAGGACCCACCAAATGCCCTCACCTAGAGCGTGATTGTTTATACCCTCCTTGCTCTTCCAAAGAGAACAGGCAGTCTTGATCAAGACATTTACAGGATCTTTATCTACATCCAGGGTTCTCATCCAAGCTCTGAGAATGTCTAAGCCCCTGAAATTACATGTAAAATGATATGCAGATATCTATAAGAGAACTATCACCTGTGACTTTTTCTATCTTTCTGAAATCTACCTAAAGAATTTTAACCCAGAGAGACTGTTAAATAGTGTTTTCCTCCCTACTAAGCAGGGGGAAGGATATGTAGATGGATCCTGCTTTACTGAGACAGGCCAATTTCATAAGATTCTCTTAGAGTTCCAATATAGGATAACAACTTCTGACCTCCTTGAACATCAAGGCTGGGACAAATAATTTCTCTGGATACTTCAAACTCTTTTATTTTACAAATATAAAAACACATCTACCAACTCAGCATGGTAGAGTGTCTCTGGAGACTGGAAACTGTGTGCCCAGGATTTAGCTTATTCCAGGTACCTTGGACTCACTGGTATCCCTTCCACCACATGATAGGCATGGACTGGGAGGCACTTTCAAGTGATGTCTAAAGAGTCCCCACAAGCCACCCTGCTCCCTTCTCCTCTGTCTTCAGCCCACAGCCCACTCTCATCACACACAGGGACCTCACAACGTGGTGGCTGGACTAGTGTGACTCACCACGTGCCCGCTGAGGTCACAGCCGAAGCCAGAGGCCTGCTGGCTTTGATAGTACTCTAGCTGTTTCTCCGCCAGTTCCACACGTTGCAACAGATTCTCAATAAAGTCCTGGAGCCGAGCTTTCCCTTGAACCTCCTTCTCAGCCGCTGCTTCCAGGAAATGGTTGAAGGTAACAACTTCTCTGCAAGGCAACAATGTCAGAACACAAAATGGGGAAATGAGACAGGAATTCATTCATTCAACACATGTTTACTGGGGACCTGTTATGTGTCAGTTACCATCCTAAGCAGCATGGTCACAGCACAACAAAAACAATAAAAATCACATCCTAGTGATAGTTGAAGACATTTTATTTTATTTATTTATTTTAGCCAGAGTCTCACTATATTGCCCTTGATAGAGTACCATGGTGTCACAGCTCACAGCAACCTCAAACTCTTGGGCTTAAGCGATTCTCTTGCCTCAGCCTTCAAGTAGCTGGGACTACAGGCACCCACCACAACACCCAGTTATTTTGTTGTTGTTGTTGTTGTTGTTTAGCAGGCTCAGGCTGGGTTTGAACCTGTCAACCCCTATGTTTGTGGCCAGTGCCCTAACCACTGAGCTATGGGCATCAAGCTGACAGACTACATTTTATTGAGGGAGACAATCACTATAAAATATACAAATACAGTAGAACCTCTCTAAGTTGACCACCCAAGGGACTGTAACAGACTGGCCAATATACGGAGGTGGTCAATATAAAGAACTAGGCCTACTGTACTGACATGGACACGTGGTACATCGCCAGTCTATACAAAGTAGGTCAACTTAAGGAGATGGTCAATGCCAAGAGATGGTCAACTAGCAAGGTTCTACTGTATATATGTCAGGTATATAAGTGATAAGACCTAGGAAAACTGAAGCTAGTACAAGGGGACAGAGTCACAGAGTAAAGGAAGGGGTGGGTAGTATTTCAGAAGGGAAAATGAGAGGTAACATTTTGGATTGGGTAACATTTGAACAGAGACCTGCAGAAAGCCCTGAGGAATGAGCCACACAGATCTGGAAAGAGCAAACCAGGGGCATGCAGATGGGTCTGAGGCATAGTAAGGAGGTCTGCATGGAGAAAAGGCCAAGGTAGGGCCCCACTGGCCACTGCGAGGATTCCAGCTTTTATTATGAACTAATCTGGGAAACCAATGAATGTATTGCTTGTGCGAACAGTTCTGTTGTACATTTTAAATAGTCTAGCTGTTTAGGGAGAAAAGTCTAGAGAAAGGGGAGGTATACAGATGAGAAGCCATGCTGACCACTAAGGCAATGCATCAAATGAGTCACCTTGTCCAATTCTGAACTATCGGAGCTGAGACTGAAGCAGCCCAAATAGCCACCTTGAGGGCAAGCCAAGGTCCACTGGGAAAGCTACACCATTGCTGACAATAGATGGGCAGGCTGCCTTCCCCTAAAAAGCTGAGTGAAAGTCAATAGTCCTTTTGCTACATAATTCATTGTAGATTCACAAATCCAGAAAATTGTTAATAGCTGTATTACATACATTTTATATTATCCTTTTATTTTAATGGAAGTATAAAAGTAACATTTTTCTGACTTATAAATAAGATTAGCTCTTCATTTAAAAAAAAATTCAAACGACACATTTAAAATATAAGGAAGGAAAAGATCTTCTGAAACTCCATTATCCCAAGACCACCACCATTATTTTGGTAGCTATCCTCTCAAAAATCTCTTTACAGATACACCCCACTCCCTTCCACACACACAATTTTTCTCCTTTTTCTTCCTCATCACTTGACTCTCCTCTCAACTCCCCTCTTTCCACCCCCTTCTCCCCAGGCCAGACACCAGGTAATCAACAGTTCTTTCCCCCTTACTGTGTTCACTTAATAAAAATCCACAAATATCCTTTAGTCATCATCCCCTTTGTACATTCTGCCACCCCCTTTGGAATTTCATAATTTTCTAATGAATTTCCTAATTTTATTACCTGTTAGATATAGCTTTTCCTTCATGTGTTGCCAAAATCTCTCTCAACCTTCAAAGAATGCCCTCACATTGTTCTCACCATGTTCAATGTATGCAAAATTCTGAAGACTTTGATCACTGCCCTTTTTGCTTCTTTCCGTTTAATGATCCCTAATTTTTAGCTATCCAGCCTCGTTCATTCGTTCTGGATAATCGTTAAATTCACTGCCTTCTCTGTACCTTCTCAACCTCCATTTGATCTTTATTTTCTACTAAGCTCCATAATCTCTTCAGAGTAAAAGTTCAGAGGAGTCTGACTCAGAAAGTCAGAGTTTTACATAAGAAATTTGCAAAATAGCTGGTGGTAGCTTCCAGCTCATTAATTCTGTACTGCTAGTCAGTGTGTGTGTCACTTTTACAATTAGTCATAATTTTTCTCTCACAAGTACATTACGTCACACTTGGCCATACCGAAACTTTTCTGACATTTCCGATAGAGTCACATATCTGCAAAACCTTAGGAATTATATATCTACAAAACCAGAAAATAGGCTGGCTCTAATGATGATTCATTTGAAGACTTACTAGCAACACCAATCCTCTCTTTTTCTAGTTTCCCATCCAAGACCAAATGTAAATCCTATTTCTGTAATAATTCCATTATCTTTTGGTAGCTAAGAAATATCTACACCAGAGACCAGAGAAGTAAGCGCCCTTATGGAAAAGGGTTTTCCTTCATTGTCAGGGTTCAAGGTTATTTCCAGATGTTTTCCTATGAGCCTTGGACAGAAGATGGGCACTTTCCAAGGTCCTAGTTATTCAAGCCATGAGCGCCAGCCAATTTTTAAGCTTTCCTGTCATCCACCTTAATCTGCCTCCCAGGTGAGCCACAAAACCTAACCAGCAGCTAAGGAATGGAAGGTCTGTGCGAGTGTTACCTGCAGCCCTTTCTTGGTTACCGTTAATCAGATCTTTTGTATGGAGTATAACCGTAGCTCAAAAGCACCACCGGAAGTGTACCCCAGGAAAATGGCTACTCCAGGAAAAGGGCTCCTCCTCCTTCTGATATTAAACTTTCAGTTCATGTGAAGTCAAGTCTATTGTAGAGACTTTTGGGGTGATATTTGGGATAACTGAATCATGAAACAGACTCCAAAATGTTCTTGCAGGGAAAATAATCAAAAACAAAAGTGCCATGCCAGTCATTTTCTTTTTCCAATTTATTTTGGTTGATGATATTTACAACATTTATCTTATTATAGAACTATTTCATATCTATTAGGGGAAATATAAAAATTGACCTGTTGGAGGATCCAACTGGGAAGGGTCTAACTCAGCTTTTGGTTCTGTGTTCTAAGTCTACCACTCCACACAAAGCGGGACACCTAATATTAAATAAGTATTTGTTGTAGTTAATGTTTACAGAAGACAATGAGGAAGAAACAAAAATGACCCCAAATCCTACCACCCAGGGGTAACTACTGTCAACATCTGGTACATTTTTTTCCACTGTTTTATTCTCTGTGCATATATAATATTCCAGGGCTCTCCCTGTAAAGTGTCTCCTACAAGACAGCAACATTTGAAGGTCTAATCTCATAAAATTAACAGCACAAAGGCAAGAGAAAAAAACCCGAATGCAACACCACTTGTAACTGTGGCTACATTTTTAAATTTCATAATGTTTTGCTACTGGTTTCCTATAAAACCCTTAAAAATGTCATTGCTCCTAGCCAACTGTGGAGGGTTATGCCATCTTGTAAAAGAGAAGGATCTTTTTCTAACTTCCTTCATCCAATTATCTTGTGCCCTAGAGCTGAGAAGTTAATATCCTTTGCATTTTTCAACCAACCTGGCACTGATGCTAACCTAATTTCAGTTCATAGACCTATCACATCAACTAGGCGGGGGGTGTGTAGACAGCCTGACAATGAAGTATAATTTTGTTTTTAAAAAGAAGCTAAACACACAAGACAAAGACTGGAGAAGTTCATGATACTGAGACTGCATGGGGCATCCTTATTAGATGAAAAGAGTATAAAACCCGAGGGACTGAATGTGGGCCAGCACGTGTGCACATCTCAGATCTGCCTCACTCTCACACCCTGCTCTGCCTGGATGAACAATATCCAGAACCACCTCCTTTGTCCCCAAGGAACTTGGAATTTTTCTGAATAGAAAAGGTTTTAACCACATTGCCTTTTAACCTCTTCAATAATTAGACTCCAAACAGTAAAATATTCATTTCCAGTGCGAGAGAGAGCAAAATATTCATTGATACGGCCTCAGATCCTATGTTGCGATTAATCCTTAAGAAACTAGCAATTGCCACATTTGGCACAGTATCAAAGCAAAGTACCCACTACTACCTGGAAAGGCTGGTAAAATACCCTTCCATGACGAGATGTTTATTCACCTCAACCAGAACAAACTTGCAACAGACTGAATGAAAAACTACTCAAGTCCAGCTGCCTTCTAAGAAGCCAGACAAAAACTTTTAGAACACTATCACTCTTTTCACTGAATTGTTTTTGGAAAAAAATAGGTATTTTTCATAAAAATATGTCACTTATATTAATATGTGATGGATACAGGTAGTGGGAGAGGCAGACACTGAAAGACATAATTATAAAGCTGAGTTGAATATGACTAAGAAAAAGAATAATATGATGCTATCAGACAGAACAATAAAAGACTTATGTGGTTTTATTTTAGGTTCTCAACCCTGTGACTCAGAATACAGTGCGAAAGCTGGAAGGCGAGATGAGAAGATAAGGGCAAACCAGAGTGAAACTCAATCAGGGTGTGGGTACAGACCAGCTTTGGGGAAATAACTTTAACTGGTTCTAGGCCACTTCCGGCCCCATCTTTGACTTCTTATTGATTGAAAGAAAAAAAGAGTTAAGTTCTTAAATCCAAGGTTTTAGGCTTCAGGGGTAGATATGCTTATTTAAAGTAATATTGGACACTAAAAAACAACAACAAAAAAAACAGTATAAGAAAGTGACCTTGAAATTCATCATTATACACAATGATTTGCAAATCTGAAAATCTATCAGATTCATAGGCATTCAGAAACCACAGTATAAGGCAGCACTGAGTGGAAAAGCCCCTTCCATAGACCAAAGCTTTAGTTAGAAAAAATACCCATTCACTCCTGCACTCACTCATTCAGCATGAGGGCTGAAACCCAGAATATTTTTTTCATATTTGGCA